CCTTCCTTCCTCCCTTCCTCCCTTCCTCCCTTCTTTTTATAAGCTACAACCTTTTCTATCTGGTAAATAGGGTTTTTGGCAACTTGTAAAAAAATTTTTTTAAACATGATAGTCATGTTCTGTCAGTATGAACTATATGTTTAAACAACCAAAGAAAATCTCATTGCTAGTAAGAATATAAAAGAACCAATACTCGGAGATGGATGGCATAGTGAAAATCAAAAGGCTAAATTCAGCTCTAAGAGGTATTTGGCATATCCTGCATGATTTTTTCAAAAAATGATTTATTTGCCAACATTTTAATGTAGAGAATTTTAGACAGACTGTTTCATGTGTTCTCACCAAAAAAAAAAAAAAAAAAAAAATCTGGCAACCCTGTGTTGAAATTCTCAAAGTGGAGCTGAAAGTTATCCACTGTGGATGTTGCAATTTTCAGATATTTTTGTCTAAAGTGTTTCTTCACTTATTTATGGCTATCTGTCTGTACCTTAAGCATTTGAGGATTGACTTTTAGGTACAATAGTATGTGTTAAAATAGACATATTGACAATTTCCTCAGTAGTTCTCTAATCAATCTTAGAGTCCTCTTGCAAAAATACTCATATTCCTTGGAGGCAGCTTCTCTCATTGCTGGCATATGGTTTGAGGCTGGGTTGGGGTCTGGGCAAAACGTAAGCTCTATCTATCTAACTAATGGCTGTTCACTTCATTAGAGCTAAGCGCATGGCTGTTCATGTCACAAGGAGGATGAAAGTTACTTTTCTTCTTTGATCTCAATGTGCCCTTGAGATTTTTCAACGAGATGAAATTTCAGTCCATGTTGGACTTCAACTAGTATCTGTATAGAAATGCTTCCCCAGGAGCATCAAATGATGTACCAAAGAAGTAATAATTTATTGTTGAATTGCTATTTCTTTAAAAAAAAATAATTACTTAGGGCGCCTGCGTGGCTCAGTTGGTTGAGCGACTGCCTTCGGCTCAGGTCATGATCCTGGAGTCCTGGGATCGAGTCCCACATGGGGCTCCCTGCTCATCAGGGAGCCTGCTTCCCCCTCTGACCCTCCTCCCTCTCATGCTCTCCCTATCATTCTCTCTCTCTCAATAAATAAATAAAAATCCTTAAAAAAATTTAAAAAAATAATTACTTAAACTAAATCAATGACAGAATGACAAGTAAAACATGGCAAGGATTTACTTTCATCAATTATGTTCCCTATATTGTTTTATCTTGTTAAAAACCTCAAAATGAGGTATATTAATTTTGTAGCTTTGGTTTAAACCAAATTCCATTTAAACATTACCATATTTATATTGGAAAACAAGTTTGGGGAGGTTTGCTAGCAATGGGAAATTTTTATGTTTACTGTAAGTGCTAGAAATAGGAAGCTCAGCCAAGCAAGAAATCAAGGTGTATCTATCATTTGTTGAAAAGTGGGTTGCTTCTGTTAGTCTGTTTCTTATTTAAAGAATGTAGGGAAGAATACTGTGTTTGAAGATATTAGAATAAACATTCTCATACAGTTTAATAGGTATGGTGAGTTGGCAATAAAATAATGTTCTTTCAGTATTGTTCAGGATGAGAAATAAGCTGACTCAAAATATTACTTAGCTGTATCAAGAATTTTCCATATTTGAAGTCTACTTTTCAAGTCACTATCACCCCAAATTTTACTTACAATTGAAATTCCAAAAGAGAAACCACATTTTATATTAGTCACATGTAGCCATTTTCACAAGTACTATCAGCATAAAATTTGCTTCAGCTGCTGTATTTCTAATTAAAAAACATATTTGACGAACTGCAATTCTGCTTAAAGAGGATATTTTTTCCTCAATCAAATATTTATTTTACAGAGAATATACATGGTTAATCAGAATGATAATTCAAAGTAAGAGTGACCTTGAAGCTGGTGTTAGGTTAGGTGCAGTGAATTAATGAAAACTGGATAGCCCAACAGATGGCCTTAATTTATGGTTTTGAAATACATGTCAGACAGACCAAAAGGACTAGGTTATTACTCTTACATTATGGTAGGAATGCCTCAGTCAGATATTATGCTCCTCATAATATGAAACATTTGTTGAGATCCTGTTATGTGAAAAAATATTCAGAAGTGACAATTATATAAGAAAATATTGAGATGATAGATGATAGAGATAAATGATATATATACATAGATAAACATCATCTATTCCAGAGAGTTTATAATCTACATAGGAAAATAAGTCACATTCTGAAAGGCAAATAATAAAAATAATGATAATACTAGGTGACCTAGACTGAGTGGCCAGTTAGTGATCAAGGTAGAAGGTAGTCTGGGCAAGGCTTATCTATTGAGACCTGAAGTGGCTGAGGGGCAGATTTTAAATTGAATATTTTCATCAGATAGTATTTGGAAGAGAAGAGCACAGCAAAGAAGCCGAGAAGCAGAAATTCTTCTATTATCATGAGGATTAATTGTACGATGAAAATAAAATATTTGAGTTCTAAATATAGGAGTGGATAATGCTCCTTTTAAGGAAAACTGGAAAAATGTTGTATAGAAGCCATATGCCTACACATTTCTGAGTAAGATTAAGGATTATGTTAAAGAAACAGCTCTCCAGCTGGATTAGGTAGACCATCCCTCCAACATTCAACAGGTTACTTAATTCCTATGATTCCCCTTGTCTTTCTGCTTTTAGCGTGACTATTCTTTCTAAGAGAACGATGCTAAGTTGGTCTTGTTATATTAAACAAGTAAAAAACAAAATATATAGTGGTGTCCCTTATGAGGCAGAAAAGTTTCTTGATGAAGTTTTTAATCACTTTTAGCAAAAATAAAGTTTTAGTATAGGCCCCTGTAGGTATATTTAAGTAAAAAAAAAAAATCACAGGCATTATTGAATACAAACTAAAATTTGAAAATTAGTATTTTTCTGTAAGCAGAACTTATGAATGAGAAGATGCAGAAAAATGGAATGTGCAATATAGTGTTTTAGGAAAGAAGATGAAACTTTAGATACAGGCTATTTTTGGGTGGGAAAAAGAGGTAACACCCATCCCTTGGATTAGCTGTTGAAAGATGCATGCAGTTCGGTATTATTCTATGCTTTTGGGCAACCAATTAGAAAAGTTATTACTTATCATGTAATAGCTAATACAGATGAATATCTGCCCCCATCAGCATAAATACTAAATTTAATTTATACTGTTGCCTCCACTGGAGAGAACATTTCCTCCCAAAACATAAAATAATAAATAAACTATCAAAAAAAACCTTATAATGCATTACTATGATTATATTTGAAGGATCCAAGTCTGTACAAGCCTGTTATTTCTGTTACTCAGATTAAATAAAAAATAGGAGTGATTACCTATTACTTGCAAAGTATGAGCTACCCCTGAATGCAGCCTGTTGATCATGATTGCCTTAAATTATTGCGCTTAATCCTGGGAAACACAATTTTTCCCACAACTTTCCTAAAAATAGAGATTACTGGTTTATCAATGCTCTGTTTCAGTGTGGAGTGATTCCTATATATTAGCTAAATATCCTTGCACTCTATTGATTTCTTTTTTGGGTTTCTACTTCCTATTTACTTATTTTCCAGTGCTCTGAACTGCCTGCCTTTTAAAAGGAGACGTTTTCTTCCTCAAAAACAACTTTTATTGTACCCTTCAAAATCAGAACGGCATTACTTCATGTTGTTACTTAGTTCTCTCATTAAATGTCTATCCTGCATCATTTTCCAGTTGTTTTTCTCTACTGAAAATAAATATTGGCATACCCTGGAGTGTTTGGACAAAGCTCTATCCTCCTCTCATCATGTTAACCCTTAATTATTAAAACTCTGGGTTCCTTGAAAGAGTTAACATACCCTCTCTTTTCTTAGGTTCTCCATATAGAGACAAAATCACCATAGCAATTCTTCAACTACAAGAGGAAGGCAAGCTGCACATGATGAAGGAGAAATGGTGGAGGGGCAATGGCTGCCCGGAGGAGGAGAGCAAAGAGGCCAGTGCCCTGGGGGTTCAAAATATTGGTGGCATCTTCATTGTTCTGGCAGCCGGCTTGGTGCTCTCAGTTTTTGTGGCAGTGGGCGAGTTTTTATACAAATCCAAAAAAAACGCTCAATTGGAAAAGGTAAATGTCACTTTTTTACGATTCAAAGCAATTGCTGTTATACTACAACAAATTCTTTTTGATCTTTCCAAGCAAGGGTAATGCTTAGAACGGTGACCGCTAATTGTCCTCTGCCATTCATTCTCTAAGGGAGGGTCACAAAAAAAATCAGGATCACCTTTGTGATTTTTAAGTTACAAGAATCTGTTTAAATTAAAGCTAGCTTCAGAACAAGCGACTCTTTCTCCTGTTATTGAAGCCGGAGACAAAGAGACACTTTTGCGGCGTAAAGTTCATTGCAGTTAGTTTAATGGAGAAATGCAATTAAGGAAGGAAGCAAATATCGGAAATTGTAATATGAAGGAAGAAATACTTCTCTATAGATAAAATGGGTTTTAAAATACAATCCTTAAGAATGGTTTCAAGTTAGAGGGTAGATGAAATTTTTATTTGAATATTTTTAGTCTGATAAATTTCTAATTGAAAAAAAATCTTAACTTGCATGGTGGAAATTACAGTTAATTTTCTAAATTAGTGAATGTGTGAAAATACTGTCGTTCCTTTCATGCCATTTAATGCTATTCTTAATAAGTCCTGTATTCCTTTGCACCAGAGTCTTTAGAAGAATATATATAAACCTCAAAAATATTGAGACTATAGCACTTTTTCCCGAGATTTTAATACATTTAGTCTTTGGTACAAGTGTCTTTATGTTCCATTCTTGAAAAATTTGTGAATCTCATTCAAATTATATATTTCTAGTGCTATAATTTCCTCGGTTCTATAAATATGAAGAATATTTATAGAAAAATCTCTCAGATGGTACATGACCCTTTTTGTATGTAAATTTATAGCTCTGAACATGAACTACTGCTTTACCATTTTTAAGTCTTCTGGCACCTCATTTACTTTTTGTATATAAACATCTCTTTTGTTTTTAATTAAAAAAAAAAGTTTTTTAGGGATTAGCCTTTAGACCCTGTGTCACAGTGAGATTATATTCTCTTTCATATTTAAGAGGTTTATGAACTTTTACTGGTAAATATGAGGAGCAAAATATGAAATTAAAGATAATGTCATACATTAATATAAGGTAAATATATTTTGCTAATGTTCTTTGAACACTGACATCTGTAAAACTATTTTTGAAAAACAAAAACATTTTCCCTCTGTCTTTGGTAATTTTTGTTGCAATTACTTCTCCTTTCTGAAACCAAAATTTTGGATACAGCGTTTCTATATTTTTACTTGACTACAGTATTTAACACTTAGAAATAATGTTTTTATAAATGAGTATTTTGATAGTTTCCTTTTGTCCTTGAGTAAAATAACCAATTCAGAAGTTTGAAAAATTTAGAAATCATATGATTTATTTCCCCACAACATTCAGGATGGCTGTATCTGCTGACTTGGCTAAATCAAATATTTGTTGCACTAGTGTGACTGACGAATAAGTCTCAATATGCTTTTTATGTTATGATCCTTTTTGTAGTGTCAAAATCAGTTTTGAAATAAAATCCAAAGAACAAATCAAAGACAAAAAAAATTAGCTCATCAATGTCCGTTTTTACTATAACTTGGCAATAAATGTGTCATTTGGGTAGTTAATACTTAAAATGAGTCCAAAAATTACAAAAGGAATCTGGGGTTTTCTAATTGGAACCTCAAATCTCCATATGCAATGATTTTCTTTCAGTTATAGCTCAGTGTTAAAATAAAACCAATGAATTAATCTCTTGATATATGTGGTATTCTATTGCCCTTGTCTCTTTGTGTCCTAGCCATATGATTTGCCTAGGCCATGTCTTAAGGCAAAATTAGTCTGTAAGCATTCTGTTAAAAAAACAAAACAAAAAACCCCAAAACAAAGAACGTAGGGATTTAATTCTCTAAAATAACCTTCTTCATACTTACTATAAAAAACTAGTTTAGTTGAAATTCAGCTTTCTTGAATTTCTGTGGACCTGTATGACCTTCTAAAACAATTAGGAAAAGGAAATTAATGTACATTTTTTGACTGAAGCAGATGAAACAAAAGAGACAACTGTGTTGATATTACATGAGGATTATTAGTCACATTCCCCAATGCTTTCACACTCTGTCTCCACATAACTTCCATAATGAAATCCAAATTCCCTAGCTTAGCAGACGAGGCACTTCAGGAGCTGTCCCTGTCTACCATTATAGTTCGATTTTTTGTTTCTCCCCAATTTGCACTTTTACTCCAGTCAAACTAAATTACTTTCAATTTTCCAATGTCATCCAGTTTTTCAAATTTTCTTCCATTTGACTTGAGCAAATCTTGACCATTTTTCTACCTGGCAAACTCCCACTAGTCATTTTAGACTAGTATCATTCAAGACTAGGTATCAACTTGCCCAGAAATCTTTCCCTAATCAATAGAGGTAATGGACGTGAGTACAGGACACAGCTGTTTCCACAAGGTTTTTATTTCCTATTCTGGTGGAAAAAAAATATGATGTGCATATCTTACTTTATTTTTACTTCAGTGATTTCAGGTACTGCCATCATTCCAAAAACATTTCCTACCCCTTTGAGAAAGTTGGGAAGGTTTTTTGCCCATTTTAAACCACATCCATCATTATGTCTAGATACCTTTTCTCTGTGAAGCCTATGCACATCTCCATTCTCCCTTAGCACACTATTTTATTCATATTTGTTGGTTTCTCTGTGTGGATGCCTCTCCCCCTACTAGACTCCCAGTTCCTTTAGGACAAAGACCTAGTGTTTTTGGTTTGTATCTCCAAGGTCCCAAACAGTGCCTGTTGGCGTAAGATAGATTGATCTATCATCTATTTATTTATTTATATCTTTCTTTCTATCTATTTAAATTAATAATGAAGTTGGTTCCAGGAAACTATTTAGAAAAGTATATCATAAAGAATAAAAAAAGAACTATGTTTCTATATAGTTCAAAAGAACTGTGTTTATAAAATAAATACTTATGGATTTATCAGAAGTGACCCATTTTATGTATTGTGATAAATTAGGTTCTTGGACTCCATTCTTTTTTATTTTTCTTGAGGAAAAGATTTTATTTAGTTGAGCTATACAGTTTGTTTAACACCTTACTTAATTTATTAAAATTAACCATAAAATATTCCTAGATTGTATCACAGTCAAGTTTATTTACACTTATAATTGTGACTTTAATTATATTTCTTAAATTTTAAAAGTAAGGTAAATATTTGTGATCATTCATTTACTCAATAATTATTTATTGAGAACTGAACATGCAAGGAATTATGTTTTGCACATTGAATGTAAGCAATGATATAGTATTCATAATTCTAGCCCCAGTGTACTTTGCTATCTCTCTTCCCTTCTCTTTCTTCATTCTTTTCCTTCTTTCTGTAGGCTATAGTATTCCAGGATTTAAAAAAAAAAGAAATTTCCCGTCTTTATCTAAATAGGCTGCCAGACACGATATACACACAGTTCTAGTTGAATATGAATCTTACGGATAAAATTTATGAATAGCAAATAGCATGCATTTTGTAAAATATTAGTGGAGCAAATAGGTCTTGTGACTATAACTTTTTTATATTTTTGATAATTAGGAGTAGTGTAAGAAAGTATCATTTTTAAATGAAGGAAGGTTAAAACTGAAAACAGAAGAAATTGCTGATATATATAGACCCTAGAACTTCAAAAACTGTAAATTGCATTCCTTTCAGATAGCCACAAGATGGTGTATTACAATTTTGATAATATTTCATGGTTTTAATTTTGATGCAAATATTAATACATCAAAGATACATTGCTTTTCATTTATTTGAACTTTTAAAATAAGTAGGTATTTATTTTTCTGATTTTTCCAAAGTATAACCTGGCCATTTGGAAAGATCCTCAAAATGTTTTTCCTTTCTGAATGTGTCTGAAAAAGTAACTAATCAACATGTACATTTTCTAATTGATTTTTTTCTTGCCTTACCTATTCCCTGATTTAAAAAATATTAATACTTAAGTTTCATTCGGTAAGAATCCAAGAAACTGTTATACATTTGAGGCAATTATCAGCGACTTTCAGGTTATGTGGATTTGCTTAAAAGGTCCTGTTTCTCCCTCCTAAGTCTTACTTATAACTGAAGAAAGCTATTTAAGATACAGAGTTTTGTTTTGTCTAGTAATATTTATGATAATATATTGGTTTGTAAGCATGAATTAGAAGTGATTATAATTATTTTAATTTTAATTAAACTATCTTATGACAGAATTATGATTCATGTTTAAAATCGTTCAACATTTCTTAAATATTTTAACATGTCCTCTTTTAAAAGATGTACATAATTCTGCCTTCTTTTGATTTCCAGCAAGAATAGTAATGTAACTCAATTTCTACCAATGACCTATATAAGGATTAACTAGATGGCTTTTAAAAATGTTTTTACATATAAATATAATATCACACTTAAAAATGAGATGCCAATCTTTTTTCATTCACTAATTTAGTTCCAAATCATCCAAAGGATTTTTAAGTCATTTGTTTATGATTAAGCCAGCCTCTATTTATGCACATAAATGATGTTTTAAAATTAAGATTGTAGCTGGATAATAATAATTTTACTACCTTATTTTTATAAATGACTTTAGAGTTTCTAAAGAGTAATATCTCATTTGAATACAAAGTTACCCTGAGAACTGTGCAAATATCATTATCCATATTGTGCACATGAGGGTAAGTATCTCAAGGGTCAAGTGTTTCCCAAAGTCAAAGATGCCTACTCTCACACTTTTAAGCTATAGCATTTTGCACAAAATGGAGGTAGAATATTTAGCTAGTCTTCCTGGTAGTTTTTCTTCCTGAAGTTGCATTGATGCAATATGTGGAGTGGGAGTTTGAATTAGATAAACAGATTGTGGACTTTGATCTTAAGCACTGTCTAGTTATTTCACTGTCCTAGACAATTAAAGCATGAGTTTTGGAATTAAAAAAAAAAAAAAAGAAGAAGAAGAAGAAGATTTGGGCTCCTTTCTCAACTTTGTTCAACTTTGGATAA